GCCATTACCTGCTCCTTCTCCTCCTCACGGCAAACCCGCTCCACCTTGTACAACTCGGTGAAAGACTTTCTTCGTGCCTCTAAACGAATGCCACCTATCCTCTGCCACGTTTCAACATCCACAAATCAACTATATTTCCCATTCTGTCTCTCCCTTAAGCAATTCCATTATTCGATATTTCATTTAATTATTTCAGCTGTCGTTACAAAGAATTCGTGAACTCGGTTTCATATGGTCCAAACTATAATCAAACTGGTTTGCTCTTTATTATTAGTAAGAATGTTTTTATTATAACTTTGACAAAGAGTCGACCGGATCTCGGACACGAGAGGATGTCCATTGACTCTCTAACACCCGTAATCGAGCAATCTTCCGCGCATCCGTTTCTTGTTCCTTCCTGCAAAGAACCTGAAAACGCGAGTTCCACCCTCCGTTTCCGCGTGTCCCTATTGTCAATGTTGATTGAACGTGCCAATTGACGGACTGGAGAACCGAACGGAAATGCCTGCCAAGAACGCGGATGTTTGAAAATGCGGAAGAGATACTGATAAGATACAGCTAACTATAATTCATATTTGATCAATCATAGAAGCTCTTCTTGCTTACACCATTAATTATTCGAAAAAGGAATATAATTGTAAATTCAAGAATCTGTTGATGAAAGTTAAACAAATTTTAATTAAATCCTAAATCAATGGACGCTGCAATTTCTAGTTCGATTGTATCTGCAAAATGATTCTTCTAATTCACCTCTTCCGTTATTCGATTAAGATATTTGTAAGAAAAAAACTTTTACCGACAAATTCCGCTGAATATTCAGACACTGTCCTATTAATTTCGAATCTCCGATTTCTTGGTGCACGAGGAATCCTCTTACGTTACCGTGCGCGACAGGAGTCAAGGAACCAGTCTCCTAGAAAAGGTGCGCGAGCGTTTATAACCCGAGCCTCGGCGATCTCGAGTATAGGAAGCCCCTGGCTCAACGAGCCCGAAAAATCTGGGTCATTGGCCTGACTGGCTACGTAGGCCACGATAGGATTCGTGGTACCACGAACCCTTTCTTCCATAGCCACCCAACTATTTCATTACCTACCGTCTCCTTCCTATTTTTCTTCTTCACCCCATTTTTTCCTTCTTCAAGTGCGTCTCTTCTTTATCCTTCAATTCAGTCTATATCGTTAATTCTAAGATTAATAAACATTCTTCATTCATTTTGTAATTTATCCTTAGTTATTTGAATAATCTATACGATAAATCAATAATTGCAAACGGTGTAGAGATTATTACAAGACAATTCTTTCCCATAAGTCAGATCCTCCTCTTATAAATCGCGTCCGGTATTCATTTGTAGCTGCAATCAGCTTGTGGTTTTAACGGATCTCGGTAGTCGGGCCGAAATAAGAAGGAGATCTGGCCGTCTCGTTTCCTCCTCCGTTTTACCTCGGCGAAGACAACGTCGCGAGAGACCGTATAACCTTTGGAGACCGTAACCCCGTTATATTATTACATTTAACAATGGTCTTTATTCAAAGCCGATGCACCGTTCCCTGCAACCTGTCGCGGAAGCTGTCTTCACATCCTAGACAAGTCGTCCTAAACTCGTCTGATTTGACGCTGTCATCTTCATACTGCATAACTACAATTGATTAGCGTTACTCTCAATTACTGGACTCGAAATGGGCTTTGAAATGCTTCGAGGAACGCAAAATTGGAGTAGAAGCTCGGATTTGTTTTGAGAAGTCGAAACACGGTGCGTGAGCGTTGCAGGCAGAAGCCGGACGTGTGGGTCCGCGCGGTGCCACACTTAAAGTGAAATAAAAGTAAGAAAACGGGCACGTACACGTGAGAGGAGATCCGGATACGCGGAACACGCAACACGAGGATCTCTGGTGGCCAGATATACCTCGCGGTTCTCATCGTCGGTCCCAGATTGGCTGTGTAGAATGCACTCGGGAGGGTAAATTTTCGTCGAGTATTATGTACAGCCTGATTATTTCGTACGAAAACCTGCCAACTTTCACCGTGCGAGCGTCGATGCGCGTTCCGCTTCGATTAATTCCACAAAAATGGCAAACATCGTGCCTCGAGGATCGCGTTTTCACGTTCGTTTTGACAGTGTTTTTCGTTCGCATTCGCATCCTCGAAAGATGGCATCTTTCCCTGTTCCCTTCTCCTAGTTCTGTCCTCTCGTGTTACTTAATAAATGAACATTTCTTTCTCTTTGCTTTGTATTCTTACAATTAGAAAAATCTATTTATGGAATGCAAACGAATCGTGTGATCAAAATTGTATTATGTTTAGCAATTTATGAAGATTATAGAACTGAAATGTTAGGAAAATTAAATTGAAAGATGAAAGAGTTACGTAACATAATTGTAAAATAGAAAGTTTGTAACAAAATTAAACCTTGTCAAGGAAAAAACCACGAATGTGCAATTTTCAATTCGATATTATTAAACGATTTGGTTTTACCTGATGGAAAAATCGGGGATAAAAACGAGACGTGAGCGTTCGTATTACGGTAACAATCATTTAATCGAACATGAGTTTTTATAAATAAAATCCACATCATCTGACTTTATACAAATTACAATTCCGCAGCCACCGAGCATTGCAACACATGGAAGGACATAATGTCGACGAGAATTCGTGGATCGAGTAAGGAAGGACGATCGAGATAAAATAATAATATTAATAGTAGTAAAAATAAAATATAAATTAATTAATTAATTATCAGCGTAATCATCAGGGGAAAGCTAATGAGTATTTTATCGGAAGTGTCGCGTCGGTTTTCATTTTCAAAAGCCATATACATATGTACGCGTGTTACAGTAATAAAATAGTATCACCCTCCGTCGGTCGATCCATCGAAGGCTCGTGATTCGTCCCTCACGACGATTACGAATTAAGGAATGAACTAATTACGCGTTAATTCTTTTGTCCTCGATTAAAAACAATTTTCTTAAAGGAAGAAAAAGATATACATGTAGAAAACCCGTAGACAAGCCTCGACAGACACGACCGTAAATTATCGTAAAATAAGTAAAAAGAACAGTGCAACGTCGTCGTATCTTCGAACGACCTCAAAGAGGATGTCCTTAAATAATCCTAAGTAGAAAAGATGTCGTCGTACATGCACATACGTTGCGTAAAGATCGGAAGCCTGAGGTCCAATTTAACGAATGTTCGATTTGCTGACCACTCGATATCAAATAAGTGTACAATTCTTATTATTAATATTAAAAATCGAACATTCGCTAAGTGGGAGCTGATCTTTACGAGAAGTGAGGGAAGAACGTAAATAAAAAAAAGCGACAGGGGGCTATCTTACAATGAGACAAACCGAGGGAAGGAAGGAAGGAAGAGGATGAAAATAAATAACACAAAGATAGAGAAGAAGGACTGCGGACGATGAGAAAGGCGTATAATATAAAAGCGAATATAAATAAGAGAACAAGCGATAGAAATCTACTTATAAAATACGTTTCTTAAAAAAGGGGGACGAATAAAAATTAAGAGAACGTATTTGGAAGAGCTTAGGTACATCCGTAGCGAGGCCAAACACGCGTGGCCGCGCCTCGCGTAGTTCTCGTCACTTCCTTCTACGTCTACGTTTTATTATGTTACACCTAGAAATAAAGTATGGGCCAAACCATAACGTCATGGTCAAAGTTACTTCACCTCCGTCAGTTTTACCTCTTCCGTTTCTTATATTAAAATTAAATAGTAATTCAATACTACACTACTAATTTTCCTTACTCTTAAACATTTTTAAGATGATTAAAGATAAGATCCGAGGTAACACATTTAATTTGACCATTTATCAATTGGTTTCTTTATAATGATTAGTTAAAAATGACGAAGAGGACTTAATGGTGGCCAGTCACTTCGTTTGGCCCGTACTTTACACGCGTATATGTATGTACTATATATATAAACTCTGTTTCAATATTTTCAATTTCGTTCGTTCGAATTAAAAAACGTCTGCATTGCTTTTCTACGCACGTACCCGCGTACGTGTGCCCTGTAATCGAATACGTATATGTACACACCACTGACCACTCGATATCAAATAAGTGTACAATTCTTATTATTAATATTAAAAATCGAACATTCGCTAAGTGGGAGCTGATCTTTACGAGAAGTGAGGGAAGAACGTAAATAAAAAAAAGCGACAGGGGGCTATCTTACAATGAGACAAACCGAGGGAAGGAAGGAAGGAAGAGGATGAAAATAAATAACAGAAAGATAGAGAAGAAGGACTGCGGACGATGAGAAAGGCGTATAATATAAAAGCGAATATAAATAAGAGAACAAGCGATAGAAATCTACTTATAAAATACGTTTCTTAAAAAAGGGGGACGAATAAAAATTAAGAGAACGTATTTGGAAGAGCTTAGGTACATCCGTAGCGAGGCCAAACACGCGTGGCCGCGCCTCGCGTAGTTCTCGTCACTTCCTTCTACGTCTACGTTTTATTATGTTACACCTAGAAATAAAGTATGGGCCAAACCATAACGTCATGGTCAAAGTTATTTCACCTCCGTCAGTTTTACCTCTTCCATTTCTTATATTAAAATTAAATAGTAATTCAATACTACACTACTAATTTTCCTTACTCTTAAACATTTTTAAGATGATTAAAGATAAGATCCGAGGTAACACATTTAATTTGACCATTTATCAATTGGTTTCTTTATAATGATTAGTTAAAAATGACGAAGAGGACTTAATGGTGGCCAGTCACTTCGTTTGGCCCGTACTTTACACGCGTATATGTATGTACTATATATATAAACTCTGTTTCAATATTTTCAATTTCGTTCGTTCGAATTAAAAAACGTCTGCATTGCTTTTCTACGCACGTACCCGCGTACGTGTGCCCTGTAATCGAATACGTATATGTACACACCGTGCGACAGTGGCTTCATCGTGTTTTCACTCACTTCGTCAAGTATAACACAGCACGAGAGATCATCTCACTTTAAATCCGGGATCTGTGTATCCATCGTCAATCCATGGCCCGTTGTAAAAACTACTGCGTTCCCTCTTTCGAGGAAATCGAATCCCGATGGAAGGTTTCATACCCCTGTGTACGAGATCCTGTCTATCGTTATTGCACCCAACTTTTCTCGTATCGCGTTCGGGACGGTATCTATTTTTGATAAGAGTAAGCTGGCTCATGGTTTAAGATCCAACAGGTTCTATTATTTTACCGTTGATCTTCATCATCCGTAAGACGATTTACCTCTTAGCTCTTCTATACTTCGTCATAGGTACTTACGGTAATTCAATTAGGTACGAAACATTCTCCTCTGGAGAGAGACGGTTCCACTGAATCCTAGTCCCTACCGATCCTCTTGTGAATCTGCTGGTGCTTGATCAAATGCGCCTTTTGTCTGAACGCTTTGCCGCACACCTCGCACCTGAACGGTTTCTCGCCTGTGTGCGTTCTCAGGTGAACCTTGATATTGCTCTTGTTCAGGAATCCTCGGTTACAAATCGAACACCTGTGGACAGGCTTCTCCTTGCCGCCGATCAGACCAGACTCCGTACCGTACGGTAACGCGGTCGCGCCCGTACCTGGACTCTTCTTCGAGGGATTCTGCGACCCTGGCGCGGGCCTTGACCTCTTTCTAGGATGCGAAGGTGCAGCGAACGACGAATGTAGAAGATGATCCGGACTGCACGATGTCGACACTCTTCCGGGTGGACTCACGGGTGGATAAGGACTCGTCGACGAGGGAGTCTCGCCACAGGAAGCATTCTGAAGTCCCGCATTCGCCGACTGTAACCTGGCGTTCAGTAAGGGTGCGTAACCGTGCGTTAACAAACTCTGCAATGTCGAGCCATGTTGCTGTTGCGTGGACGGCGTCGCCGTTGCGTAGATCTGCGAGTACGGGCTGGGCGACGTGGTCTCCTGAGCTTTCGGCGAACACGCAGTGTCTATCCATTCCGCGATGTCGATCCAATCGCGAGACGCATCGGGGTCGTGCTCTGACCCCGCGCCGTTTCCACCACCGGGCACTGTCGTGTCTGCTATCGCGGAACCAATAATCTCCGCGATATCTTCGATATCGTAATCCACCTGTTGCGTCGATTGTGGCAACTGTTGTTGTTGATGGTGATGATGATGGTGCTGCTGCTGCTGTTGTTGCTGCTGCTGCTGTTGCTGCTGTTGCTGATGATGATGATGGTGCTGTTGTTGTTTCTGGCTACCTTGGGGACACGGCGTGCTGGAGGATACGACGGAAGATTCGTAATATTCTTGGTTCGAGGAGGATGTGGGCGAGGAAGAAGGCAACGAAGGTCTTTGCGCGGAAGAGGCTATCGTGTGATAATGGTGACCAGGTATTCCGTTGATGCTAAGGTGTCCGGTGTAGCCAGTAAACGGTGGAAGAGGCTTGAGCTCCGCCAACGACTGCGCCGAGGCGACGCCCACGGAGGAACCCAGGAGAAGAGTGTCCCAAGCGTCCTGCAGACCAGCTGCCGTTTGCTTAACGTCGGGAGGCTCCAGGAAATCCGGTCCAGTCGCGCCCCAAGGCGATAGTAAAAGACTGTCTACGCCGACGACTTCGGCTGGTGAACCACCGACGACGATCCCAGTTCCTTGGCTACTGTGAGGAGGCTCGACCCCGGAGGAAGTTAGATGCGGCGGTGCCGCGGGTGGACCCGATTGCGTTTCGTACTTCATCTCGATCACTATGTCTGGTGTGGGCGACACGCCGGCTGGACAGGGTGGCCCGATCACGTCCTTCACCAGGGAACCTGGTTGAGTTTTCGTCTGCTTGGGCGGCAGACACCTAGGATTCCCGGTGGATATGATATCGTACGGCGACGTGGCAGTTAATTCCTCTTCCTCCGTGTCCAGAACGTCCTGCGACGATTGGCTGAGGGGATATTCTACTTTGATATCGCGCACAGGTTGCTCCTGTTGCAACTCCTGCGATTGTTGTTGATTAGACGGGTATTCGAGCTTGATAGACCTCGAAAGGATGTCCTCGTCGCTGGATTCGTTCCTCTGCGAGATTCGCGAGGTGGACAGCAACGAGCTGAGCAAAGAGGCGTTGAAGCTCGAGGACGAAGACAACGACGATGACGCTGATATGCTCGCGCTTGTCGTTCTTCGTTCCTCGCGGACTTTCGAGTCCTCCGTCTTGATCCGTACGTTTAGGGACGACAGGATTCCGTTTAGGGAATCGGCGGACGTGACGTTGCGAGTGATCGTCGACGCGTGACTCGTCGACGGACCACCACCGCCGCCACCGGTTCGCGCGTGGCTAGACGACGACGTGGTGGTTAGCAGGGCGGATAAGATCAGGTTGCTCGAGGACGAGGGCGACGACGAGGCGATGCCGTACACGCTGCCAGGCGAATTCACGGCATCGGCGCCCCGCGCTACCGTGTCCGCGTGACCGAGGCTCGACGAACCCGACGAGCTCCCGTAGCAAACGTTTCTGCCCGCGTTCGACTGCTGCTGCTGCTGCTGCGACGTATGCTGTCGTTGATCCGAATGGTGATGATGCTGCGGACTATTCGCGTTACGATTCGGCGGACCGCAGAACTGAAAACCACCGCTACCGTTATCCGGTGCCCCCTCGTCGATCCTTGGGGGCCCAGGGGTCGAGGGGAAGAGGGAACCAGGATTCCACCAGGGATCCACTCTACTGCCGGGGGTGCTGCAACCGCCAACGGCGCCGCGGGGACCTGCAACACCAAGTTCGATTTTGGAAACGGCTGCCCCAACAAGCTTCGGGTAAGTCAAACGTGATACAATCAAAATACTTTTTTATATCGGGGAAAAGTTATCCAGGATTTAGTTCAATAATTTAATACAGCAGATCAGAAAATGTAGACATTGGGAAGTAACTATTTTCAAATGGTGAATGCCCGACGCATTTCTCGACGTACTATATTAACAGCGATTATACGGTAGTAGTACTTAGATTTCGTTTAATGAACTGGAGTCTAGCTATTTGCGCGACTTATAAACAATATGTTTCTGTACATAATGGGTATTCCGCGGGTATCGTACGTGAGTACCTACACGCGTGCTTATACCGACGTATAGGTACATACATATCGTGAAGTTAAGTAGGCAGATACCACTTCTCTCGAGAAGAAAGACTTGCTCCTGCTAACTAGGTTAGTGGCACGCTAGCCAGCCACGGCTGGGTACACTCGACCAGCCAAATTGCCGCATTTAAAAATACGTTTCAGCCTCACAAATATATTCCCGATATCCAATAGCAGAGAACAAACTAATAAATGATAATCACGACAGAAAATCTAGTAGACTGCCATCGCGTAAATTATATATTTACACTTGCACTTAGAATGAGCTGAACAGATTCATCTGTGCCGATTTCGTGTGAAACTTAAATTAGCGGATTCTATAAAGAATGGAGAGTTCTTATAAGTATAAGAATCTGGTAAGGCGCCGAGGATACGAAATTAAAAAGCGTCTCTTTCGTCGTGAATATCGATAGATGCAATAATTTCGAATGAAAGGAGGATCATTTAACCGTGAATTGTAAATCCATTTGAGAGGAGATCACAAAAGGATATTTATTCGCGAGAAGGCCCACATCCTGCCACGAAAAACGCGAATAATCGGGTCTCTTTCTCCTTCTCCCCGGTGTTCCGATTGACACATCCGCGTGGCCGTAGGAGCACGTCATGGGAATCATGCAAATGTAGGAAGGGGGAGGGTACACACGCATAGGTCCCGCTGCCAACCACCGGGCTCCGTTCCTCGCTCCCGACCCAATCCCCCGCGTGTTTTATGCCCCACGCCGCCTCCGTCCTTGTCGTCGGTTAGGAGCCCGTCCTTGTCGATTGCGAAGCGAGTAGACGCGCGTCGGAGGTCCCCGCTCCGGGTCCCGAGAGGACGGGGGGTCTCGTCTCGAGCCGTGACGTGTTCACCGGTACCGTTATCCACTGGCGTGGAGTCGCGGGCCCAAGAAAGACGAGCTACCTCGCCGTGCTTACCGCAGGCCACGCTTTTCGGGCCTACGACAATGTCTCGGTGATCCACTTATCAATGGGATCACCGGGTAGCCGCGCGACGACGCGACCAATTCGGATGTATCGATTCGCCAGGGGCCCGCGTGTGCTCGAATTCACGTTGACGGATGTATCGATTCGTGTCTCCACTTGGGCTATGATAAATATATCGATCGTATGGAAATGCAGTTGGAATGTTAAGAGTAATCTGTAGTCAAGTGATGAAATGTGGTAAAATATCATTTTTTTATTCAATGCATACCAAGTACAATAAGCGAAAATTGAAGCATTTATTTATGCGTGAAATTGATTTGATGATGACATCGTTAATCGAAGATTTACTCGATATTCCTTATTGACATTCGTCCATCGTTCTCATTTATATTCATCCTCGTCGATTACTCTTACTCGTTACTCTGATTCATTACGCGAGTAAAATAAGCGAGCACGTGCGTGATCGAAAACGGGCCCGGTCCCATCCGTGACTACACGCCGAAACTATACCGCGTTCGCGCTCGCGTTTACATGCATACACGTAGATATAGTATAGTGGGGACCGAAGTAGGCCGGAGCACCGTTACAGCCCGCTGCACGGTGGAAGCCTACGCAAATCGGCTAGAATTTGTCCAGATGGCTTTCCTTTTCGTTGTGAAAAATGGCGCGTGCGAGCCTCCGCGTTTCTTCCTGACCGACTTTTGCCCTTTGCCGAGCTGCCGAGAGAACGCTTGTTAGAATCGCCCGCGTCATCCGTCAATCGCCTCCTTCACGCCGTCTCGTTTATGCAAGTTCAGTTTTCAACGTATCCTCGAAAATGCTCGATATTAATGAGAGAGGAGGCCATTATGGAGAACACCAAACCACAATCCGTCTCGTTTAGAAACATTCTTTTATTAACTGATGTCTATCTACTTGATGATTTAGAGGAAAACTCATAAGCAGAGACGAATGTGAAATTGATGAAGAAAAAAACTTGTAGACAGATGAGAATTTAACGTTAAATGACTACCATTATGAAAAACAATGGTTTGGAATATTCTGTGACCCTATAATCAAAATCGGTTTTATGTGTTCCGACGTTAGAAGTTTGCGTGGGCGGCGAGATTAAAAGAAGGCATTTCTAAGGTTCGAATTCTTATTGTGAGGGTCACGCGACCGGGAGCGCACTTGTTCGCGCTACTACACGCTGTTAAACTATATCCGAGCGCGAGTTATAAGTGGGGAAACGGAAGTAGGTCGAAGCACCGTTACGCGTTGCGCTCGACGGAGAGGAGGACTACGCAAAACCAGTCGGATTTTGCTAGGCGCGCGAGCCATGGCTTTCCTTTTCGTTGCGAAAAATGGCGCGTGCGAATCGCGGTTCCCCACGATGGCCTACATACGCGAAACGTATCCCCTTGGCGTTCGAACGAATCCTCCAGAGATGCAGTCGGCAGAAAAAGTATTCCATACACGAGATTATGTAGGAGGTGAAGAATTTAATTTTGTATAGGGGATTTCTGGAACAAAGTTAAGCCTGAAGACTCTTCGGGCAAGCATGATTTTAATTAAAACATAGATAATAAAATGGGCAGTAAAAGAAAACAAGTTAATTTTGTGATCTTCAGATCTACTGAAGGAACTCGAGAAAGTTTGTGCAAGAGTCAAATTAGACAAAAGTAAAGATCAATGATCTTTTTTCGAAATTGGTATTTTCCGGGAAACGTGATCAACGTTTTTCTTAATGACGGAGGGTACGCCTTTTGACTACTCGGATTCCATCGGCAAGGAATGCAGGACAGTAACTACAGCGTACTATAGACGTGCCGATCAGTCTCATCGACTTTCGCATTAATACGTTTCGAAGTTAGATACAACGCGAACGTCAAATGAGGGTATTATCTTTTATCTGTTATAGCGGTATATTCAAACGCGGTTATATTTAGAGCCTTCATTAGTAGGTAAGCTCCGAGCAATTAGCGCCGATTATGTGGGCTGCATAGGTGTATCGGCGATCGATTACGCTTTCTTCTGTTAAGAAAGTGTGTACGCGATTGATTCTACCTTTCTTTCAAGTTCGATCATCCTAAACGATTCGCGTAGAACGTAACACATATAAATTAGCAACTATTGAAGCAAAATCAAAAGAGTTAGATTTTATTAATTCTCAATGCAATGATAAATAACAAGTGAACAATGAATTTGATTCACATAGCGATTACATCGGGACTAGAACTCGTTCCGAAATACGGATCTTTAAAGCGGGTTCGGAGACTTGAACGCCCGAACCAACTTCGGAGACTCAAACGATCGCAGAAGCGTAACGCCCCTAGCAGCACCTCGAATTCTTCGCGAATGCTTTATCTTTGAGTCACGAATCTCGTAACGACTCTTGTTAGCATTCCGTTAAACGCGATTGTCCGATTGCACGTACAAATCCAATATACAAATAGGTATTTGGAAATAATGATCATACTAACTTAATATTAAATATTTTATATGGATCAAAAGAAATCTAAGAATTAATATCCAGGAATTATTTGATACGTCAAATGAAAAGTGCATTTTTATAAGTTGTAGAGAATTATTGAGATTAAGAGTGCAGAGGGTTAGACTCCAGGGGATATAAATTGACGCTAAAAAAGTTTGTAGATTGTCACTCCAGTATTCGCGAAGTCGAAATGGGTCGTAGCTCACAGATGCGTAAGCAAGGAAACGTACGCGAGAGAACCTGGTACCGCCAACGAAGAAAGTGCGGTAACCATTAAGGTAAAGGTTAAAGAAGACGAGGACGAAGTAATGGAGGTGGCTCGCAGACTAGAAATTGAATTAAAGAATGCATGCTAAAAAGCCGGTTCTTTTCTCAGAAATTAATACTAAACTACTGATATTACTTCTCCAATATCAGTTTATATTATTTGTGCAGAATAACTAATTTGTGAATAATAAAAAGGTCTGGTTTACGATTTTCTTTATTAATACCGAATACAATAAATATTTCAATCTGTAGACGTATAGGATATTGGAATATTAGAATTTGCATCTTTTCTGTACAGAAGTATGATAAATGAAAAATTCCATTGGATCGAAGTAGAAGATAAACGATTCTTTAAGTTTTTTGGGAGATACGACAGTTTTGATGGATCGTAAGTATCATTCGGATTTGTATGTTTGGATAACAATCGAACAGGTCCGGCAAAGTACCGGTGGAACATCCGAGCTCGAACAAAGCGGTTATACTCGGAGTAGGCACTTCGGTACACTATACGTAGCCGCCGGTTGTATCTATAGACGCTTGCGGAACTGACGAGTCGGAAGCCCCCCTTCTCTGACTCGAATACCGGTTAATGTGGTACACTGACCTACTCTCAAGCCACCTCCGGGGGGATCCAGCCCCCACCATCGATGTTATCCTCTCGTCTTTCTCTCGTTCCTCTCTCCTTCCTCGTCTCTCCCGCATTCCCTTTCTGCTCCGTCTCCTTTTCTCTCTTACGCGTGTATCAACTCGGCTTCTTATTCTCTCGCGCGCGAATAATCTGCCCGTATTTCTGGTCCTCGGTAAAAAAAGAACAGCCTCTCTTTCCCTCGATGATACGCTTCCTCTTTCTTCGTCCTCGATTCTTTTTTTCCACTCGGAAGCGGAGTCACCGCAGAACAGCATTGAAAGTTTCAACCGAAGCTTTTGACAGTAAAGATGTACAGCCTGTTGATCGATTATCAAATTTCAATTCAATTATTTGAAACTATATCGAACAACTGTATGTACCTGTACTGATTGAATCATTAAATTTATTCATGGTACGAATCAAATAAATGGAGTATGGATATTTCAGCTGCGTGTGTACAGGAAGCTGTTATTATAGTATATCACGGCGTAGAGGAAATTGTCAGTTTCTCGAGAAGAACACGGTATAAGGAAGTTACTTCCGGTAGCAATTTTCTTCAAACAGAATTCAAAATATTTCGTAGTATGATCGAACATTTCATGAAGTTGTTGAAGAGCAAGCAACACAGTGTATTCGACACTTGTCCATTCGTTCTTTTACTTCAGACCTGATTTGATAAATCCTTATTGAAAATTCTTAAATAAATACGTATAATTATAATCAAAATGGGATATTAAAAAGATGAGAAGCTGCTGATCATGCTTCTAACTTAGATACGCCTGGAATGCGAAAGGAAAACAATCCAAAACGATTGTGAAGAGAAATTCTTGTACGCGGGATCGGTAATTGGATTTGATAAGTTGGATTATATAATTTTCCGGTGATTTTCCAACGATGGGAGGGGCCGGACCGAAAAGAGAAGCATAACCACGAGAAATCGGTCCGCTGACACTGACACTGGCTCTCGAATCCGATCGGAGCAACGAACCACGAGATGTCTACAACCTGAACGCGTCGCTGATCCCCCACTCGCGCTTGAATCAGCCTAAAGGAAGTCACACTGGAGAAATTTCACCGCGAACCGAAGCCAGCCTCCGTCCTCCCGAATACCTAATGCCCGTGTCGGTTATTCGAAATGTCAAAGAACCACCGACAGTAGACTTATAGGTTCTGCCAACTTTCGTCCGTACAACGCGTTTCATAACTATAGAGCCAATTGCAAATCCGTAATAGACATTGTTTTATCCAAATCATATGAATTTTGTATAATGTCATTAAAATTCTATTAGTAATTTTATCATTTTGGTATTGTATAAGTTTACTACACATTATTAGATTTACATTTGTACAAGAGAAAATGGATTGAAGCGATACATCGATCTAAACGAATTGATAAATATCATTGGCTTTACTCATGGAACACGTTACGCTGTAACAAGAATTTGTTGGATAGTTAAAATCATTAAGATCGCTCGTGGTCAAGGGCAAGGCCGTTGAAAAATGCGATCGAGCTTCGAGTCCAAAACGAAAGTTCTCCATTTATTCGAGTAAACGGTAATTGTCGGTATCGGAGATTTATAGTCAGGGGATCAGGATTTATGCGTTTGATCCAAATGTGGTCCAGAACGTTCGGGGGACAGCAGCTCATGATTTGTCGTTCTCGAAACGGCGCGAAGCTAGATAGAGAGATTGCGACACTCAGATCGCGAACACCGATACTTCTATACACAGTTAAATAAATTTTCGACCAAACGCGCTTGTGATTATTCAACTAACGATTTTGACACCCTTCGCGTGCTCCGCGAGTTTCCTAACTAAATATATGGTCCCATTCATGGGTGCAGTTTCGTAAATTTACCGGACGCCGTTCGATGTTCACCTTTGTGCTCGATAGAAAGTCGTCTTCGAGAGCACAGAATCTGTCCAAGATAGTGGATACATAATTACAGTACAGAATAATGATAGATTTGCTCCTATTCCAATATCCTTATTATCGAGTTTCGCTGTTCCTAAGTCCATTTATATAAACTTGTTCACATGCTTCGCCCGACACAATTTATTATATGATTCGTCATTGAATATGATATAAAGTTAATGACTAAACGATAAAATCTAAGTAATGAGGCTCTTCATTCATTTTTATTGCTTGAGAACAAGAATTATTAGAATAGAATGATGAATGATTTGTGACATGAGAATGAGAAGAACGAGAATGAATTTTATTCAATAGGGCGATTAATTGGGCAATGTTTTGGCTCTTTCCTGGTGTGTTTTCGAGGTTGATGGTTAATATGTTGGGTACACGTAGTCCGAAATACCGAAATGCTTTCATACTGCGGAGGATCCTCCTTTATGACACGGTTACCAGTACCCGTTACTAACTGTTAGGTTTTAGTGCCAGGTCCCACTGACACGTTGCGAGCGGCCTCTCCAAACGTACCAAAGGATTATTTAATGTAAATAAAAACGTCCGTAAAAATCAATTAATTATTTTTTAACGTAAATGCATTTCCCAAATATATAACAATTTCAAATCATTGGATAACAGATTCATTTTTATTTACTATTAAACATTCTACAGAGGAGTCGATGTCTCCGTTTCATACAAATTAAATCTTTAAGATCAACGAGAAGATTCAAAGCTTTTATGTTTGACTGATAGGATTCGAGTTCGATTTCTCAATTTCTCGTGGCTTCGACTCGTTACTGGGTCGCATCGGCGGCTCTCTAAAGAATTTCCTGCTGTTCCGGAAGAATTCTAGTCCGTACAAACAAGTAGACCTGACCTTACCTCACACTATATCGTCCACGGGTAACGAACGCGCGTTGCGAAAGTCCCAAGGACGACCGGGGGGACACGCACCGTTTTAATTTTCGAACCCATGACTAAATTCTAAACGAACCTGATCGATTCAAGCTTCGCGTAAAGAATGGAGGAAAAAATGTCGGCCGGAATTCGCAACTTCGATCGTGAATACGAGACACGGGTTCTATCGTTAGAAAGCGTGGTAACACGGAGTGACGTATGTGGTACAAGAAAATTCTGTGCAGGGAATCGATTCATAAAAATTCAACGACGCTCGCGTTTAGATTCAGTGGACATAATCAAGTACAAAACTGCTATAAAATGTTCAGTAAAGTCAGTAAATAATTAATTATTTTATATTTCATTATGTTTGCGTTAAAAAAATTTATAGATTATATTTTTACCACTATTTCAAAATTGTCACAGTGTGAAACCAGAAATTACAGGTTTCATGTCTTGTTGTTTGAATTAACCAAGTATAGGTGTTCACTTTTTTTTATGTATCAAATTCGTCGTGTCAAAGGGTGCCTTATAACGCGGCAAGTTATTAGGAACTGTTTTGGCACCCACATTTGTGAATTGTGCTGTCAGCGCAAGTGGTTAAAATAAGTCACATGCTACGTGTACTATTTTCTTCACGGGGTACTTAAGAAAAATGGGATCAAAGCAGAGGACGACTTACATACGAGCAGCGTGGTATCCAGAGTGGAATTGTTGATGTTCTCGGGAGCTCCTCTTATAAATCAATCCACAGAACGAGACACTGGTCACCCGTGGATCCTCGCTAGCCTCAACAAAAATTATCGCGGATACACTTATTATACAGACTTCACCTGACACCGTGACTAATCTCGTGAACAGTCGAATCGAAGCCGGGATTAAAGGGCGTGCACAAATCACAAGGAATCGAATCTCGTGTCCGGAGATATCGCGCCGACCGAATATCGTCAAGATAGTAGAAACGACACGAAGGCGATTCCTGCTTAGAGAACCGGAAGCCGAGAGAGGACCACGAAACTTTCACCGCGGTTCTTCCTTTCGTATTCCCTTTCTGGCTGTTTCGTGGGCATCCACCTTGGCGCTAGCCGAAGAAGGAGGTATCCCGGTTTCGGCATAGATCAGGAAGAGGGTTTCCCGCGGGACAGGGTCCTCGACCTTGTCCAGAGTCTCCTCCACCACTGCGAGCTCTGTCGATCGTTCATCAGCCTCTCGGTGTCCCTCATGGGCCGTTCTCTCCTTCAACCCTTTCCTGGTATCACCGACTCAACCCGTGCGGCACTGATACCCGGCGAACTAACTTCGTTGCACTATCGGTCACTCGTCGAAAGATCCGTGAACGCACTAATCGTTTTCTCTCGTGTCCTAATGAATCCTTCTCATTGTGCGACACACTCTTTCCTCGCGTCTCGTTAATCCCGAACTATCCTGAACGTGTCCCGGCTGATAACGCGTCGGCACACGAGAGAGAAAGAGAAAGGATCAGCGTGTTCGACAAGCCGAGTGAGAGAGAGCGAGAGAGAAAGAGAGAGAAAGAGAGGGCGGAGAGAGAGAGACGGAGAGACAGAGAGAGAGAGAAAGAAAAAAAAGAGGAGGGAGGCCTTGGTCGATGTAGCACGGACAGGAGAGAGGCCCTCGCTCGCCTGGCGCCGGACGAGATGCGACTAATTCCTAAAAGTAGGCGAGGAAGAAACGAACTGGATGGCCTGTGGGCCCTTACTGCGAGGGGTCTTACGCGGTACCGACCGACAGGGGCCCCTACTTCGAAAGAGGCCTCCTTGCGCACCGAGTCCGGCGGGGGTACCCTGGACTCCCCACCTTTCGAACCGCCTCTACCTCTCTGACTCTGTACTCCCTGTACGCTGCTTGCTCTTCTTCCACCACCTTCAACACCGTTTTGTTTGCTACCCTCCACCATCGCCGTTTTAAACCCCCTCCACGAAAATTGCATCCTGACGTCAATTGCAAAAGCTGGTTTTTCACTTACCCCTAAACCCAAACTTTCGTAATTCTTCTTCGGATTATAAGACATAGCCGGGCACAGAATGCTACAGCGTAATAATATGTCATATGTGTATTTGAAATGTAGTCCATGAATGATCATTCATCAGAAAGAATTGAGTGATTAAACATATGAATTAACCATCTCTTAATTATATCAGGATGAACGAAATAATGAGTAATAATGAACAACCGAGGATCATTTTACTAGAATCATTAATTAACTGAAACAATGATACACAGTTTCCACAGTAGCAGTCGCTTATGTTTCCATTACATTTCAATGGAGTATCGTTACTCCAATTTTCCTCGCTTCTAAATACAAACAGTATTTTAATTATCCTGACGTGGCGCGGGTAATTAGTATCCAGTTTTGATTCCAATTAAAGTCATGAAAGCGCGTTGAGAAATGTTGGGATCATCAGACTTTTCTATTTTTTTTTCATTCAATACCACCTACGCGTTTTAGAGTCATCAGTATGATGTCACGAAAGGTGTCTAGCCATCATCGCGTGCTCTCTATTCATTTAATATTCGAAACGAGACATAATTTAAACATTCTTTCGTTCTCCTTCCCCGTTTCCTACACACCGATGCAGTTTCCTGGTACGTAAATCATATTCTCTTAATTTATTAATACAATATGTAACTGAACAACGTAAATGGAGTGGCAAAGGCAAAAAATGATTTCAGCGCACATGAACTTTTACGTGTTTGCCCGAGCATTTGCTGGGTAACCGGTGAAGGTAAAAATTGCGAAATTCTCAGCCAATTAAATTCAAAACTCGGGCGCGGACGCGCTATGCTCAATGGTTCAGCTTGAAATTGCTAGGTCAGTTTGAAAATTGACACAACTTCAAAGATTTACGGGGAACCAAGTACGATGTACAATAAAAATAAATTACCGAAACGGGAAAACCGTTTTTTTTTTTTTTTTTTTTTTTTTCATAAATGAACGCTCTACCGAAATTCTACTTGCACAAGAAAATGGTAGGTCGCGCCGATTGTCGAAATACTGGGTGAAGTTCAGAAAAAAAGTCAGTAACCCTTCAACGGGAAATCCTTTTACAGTTATACCCTACGCATCCGTGACGATCGTGTCCGTTTTCGACAGATGAAAAACGGAACTTTTGGCAAAAAAAAAGCCAGGTTACCGCTAGTTTGCAAAACTCGGTAAGCCCACGGCTGGGGTCCTCGATGGCAGAACCCCAGGTGGCGAAAGGACGTCGGGTAAAGTATCTTTTTGTATTCCAAGTTAAACCTACTCCCGAGGGACTAGAAATCGACCCTGAAAATATGCCAAATTCAATTTATTGCTACTTTAAGAATGTAAAATCGTTTTTCAATCCAGTAATGAAGCATTCATAAGAAGAACTCACAAGTATTACTCCAGTTACCTATGCATGAATAACTTGGTCTACATTACGGAGAGTTTCCCGGTATAATTTCCACGAACATTTTCATTATGTTACCGACGCTCATTTATTCTTGACAAACGAAGGTAGCGGCACTTAATTACCCTTAGTAATCGCGTCGCGCACGCCACGATTTATATCATAATAATATTGTATAACTTTCGATTAATTAGACGTCGCGCCATGCGGGGACCTCCTTTATTTCATTTTTTCTTGACGCAACGGAACCGACGACGGGCCCCTACTTCGAACGGCGAGTCGGTTACACTTTCGTTACTGCGACTAGTGGTACCACTCGACCGCGTTCCCTCCTCCGCGAGGAGGAATCGCTAAGCAGATCGACCTAATTATTTCCAAGTTTATATTAAAGTATGTGAACCGTGAGAGACGTCTTCGCTGATCCAGAACAAAACAGAGATCGTGAACAAACGTCTCGATTAGCTTCATCATCTCTTTTGCCATTTTTCAAAATCACTGATAATAATGAGAAATCGATTCAAGAATTTATTTATCTGTTGACATTGTTCTTCTATAATTTTTTCATTAACGTATATCTATTTGATATTAGAATACTTCTAAAGGTTAATCAAAATCACGTATTGGAATATTATAGGCACTGTGTCATTTGATTAATTATCATTGATAACTTGGAGGGATAATAAAAATTATGCACAAATAGTTCATCGATTTTATTATTTTGAAAAATGTCACAGTGATTTATTATATTCTGTAGAGTAATAATGATAAATAGAGTAGAAGTATAGAAATAGATGTATTCAGTGAATCGCGAACAATAAACCTCTAAATTCGTATAAAGCATGGTGCAATTAAATTAACAGAGACCCAATTACCTTATATCTCTGTTCTCATTGAAGTAATTGGCTTAACCGTGAGAAGGGCGTAAAATTCTTTAAATATTTTGACACTTTCGTCTGTGGATCTCACAGAAGGGCAGAATTTATGACGTTCCCTTTCAAAAGGTCTACGACCTTACAAGCTTCCCTCGGACCGTTAGAATTTACCAATTTTATTGGTGCCAATAAACAGGGGCCAGCGGTGTTGTTTCGTTGACTTCAGCCAAGAAGCACGTCTTGCATTTCCTTGTCAAGGAGACCTTGAATCCTTGCTTTCCGTCTGCAATTTTGCAAGCATCCATTTAACCATTGAAACAAAATCAAAACCTCGTGTGCATTGAAGTGTATGTTTATTATTGTTCAGAATTGAAATCTAAAAATTATTTATATTAGATTGGCTTTAATCGAAGGAAACCTAATTAACGAAATAATTAAATAAATAATTATGAATAATAAATGAAAGATTTATTAAATAAATTGTATTTAGAACTGAAGTCACAGAGTCTGTTGCGAACTTATTATGTAAGTTAAAATTGCCATATCTTAAAACTCCAGGGTTGTAATACTCGTTCAATACCTGCTAGCCTTCGAGCCTTGTAAACCTGATGAGATGATAAATTAGAGGTATTGTCGAGACGAACGTTAGGTATGACCCAAGACACGTGGACGAACCTGGAACGTGGCTGAAGCGTAACGAAACATGTGTGCAACAGTCTCTGACGATATTTATTACGAACATTTGAAAATTTACAATGGTCGCGCGTCGAAAATGCGACACGCGCTGCATGAGCTACCCAAATATCTGGATAGTAGGTAGGTTCGTTGTAAAATATTATGCCAACTCTTGTTACGGCGCGCGTACGTCCTCTTGTTTTCCTGTGACTTCAGCCACGCGTCGTACCTGCCCCACTCATTACGTTTAAAATGAACCGAAAAGAAGGTTCTAACACAGAAAATGTGTCTGCAAAAGTAACGTGGAACTGTATATTCAATTTTCATCCCATGTATCGAAAGCAAAATGTGGTAGCTGTCTAATAAAGACAACTGCTTCTTCGGATTGTGACAGTAACACTGATTCAGGTCAAACAGGAGGAAGGATAGAAAAATGGATTCCTGTTCCATTGCTCGTGCAAATGCAACAAGGTTCTCATAAGGAAATAATTAAACAAATGTAGGTGATTGCTAACGCGACAATTCGCACGAGCCTCAAGGCGAAGGCAATAAAACTCGCCGAGGTTAAATCAAGGTTTACTCATCGTTTCCCTAATTGTTTCCTTAATTTACGTACTCCTCCAATTTTTTGTGGAACTGTAAACGCGCTAGGAAATATAAAGAACACTAGTATATTTGATTAGTAATACAACTTATGATTGAGAGAATTCAGAAAGATCTACGAGTTGAAAAACGATCAATTTTGAGAGTATTGAGATCTCTACGCTACATCTATCTTGTGACCGTGTCTGATTCATGGAGGAGGTAAAAACTTTTGAAAGGAGCGCGTCGAATTTCGCGGGGCAAAATATTTTCGGTCAACTCCGACCGTAGGAAATCGCGCCTCGCAATATTTAGACTCGTACTACTTAACCGTGCAGAGGCGGCTCGTACGATTATTCACGGCCTTTTTATTCTCGTATTGCGCACCCGGAAGAGAATCCCTTTAGGTTCGTTGTACCGACAACTAGGAAGTCTCGCTGCATTTCCCAGGTAGCCACTTTTCACCCCCTTCCGCGTAAACTTCCGGGTGGTCCGTTTCTAACATTTTTTCAAACTAGATCACCTTTTACATTATCCAATTTCATTTTTCGTGTGCAAGGTATCTATGTAAACAATTAGTACACTTTAATAGTGTGTGTTAACAGAACTGTGGCGTAGAAGTCAGTGTCTTAGATGTTCACTTTCTAATCTCAAACGTCAACCTGTATCTCAACTATTCAATTCTATCTACGACTTGTAAATCATGCAAATGCATCTTTTCTAAAGAAATCGTATCAGTTAAACAAGACCACCCCCTAGATTTAGTTCAGGTAGGAAGCAGAAGAGACAGGTCGTAAATAATTCGACAGGTCTCGATGACAGTTAAATCCTGCGGTGTTTGTCGGTCAGCATGACGAAAGCTTCTGGCTTTCAAGAAGCTTCGAGGCATCCGCAAAATTTACGGTAGCATTCGCGAGAAAGAACGGTTTTGCGGCCCCCGATGTGGCCACCGAACACCATTTCCGCTTCGCTATTACCTAGCGTTGCTTCACCTGACCGGATGAATCTTGAGACCTTGACCAGGGGATAATGTGCTACTTCCAATATATCATAAAAAATCGTAAACGTCCGCTTCATCATTTTGTCAGGTGCACTTTCCTTACCTCCAAGTTCAATACAACAATCACTACAAGCTTCTGTCAGTAAAAACAATTGCTTTCTTGTATCAACGTATGCATTTTAATAATTCTTCATCGAAATGTTTAAATGTAAAGATCTCAGAATGTTAAATGTAAAAATCTCAGAATTCATTCAATAAGGGTAGTGAGAATCTTCAAATGAAAGGAATATGAGAAACTAGGAGAATATTGGAATTGAGATGAAGCATTTTTTTTCCGGGTGTCAGAGTTCAGAGAGTGAAAATCGCACCTCGCGGGTGCCCGTTGTAAATGTGTACCGTGGCAAATTGGGGGAGAACAGTTTGTGGGCTCGGATGTGGCCACCGAGTATCCTTTCATCCCATTTTACGACACCCAGCCGCTGTGCACTTACCCAATTCGATTTCTACTAGTGGTTCTGGCGAGAAAGAGCAGTTCCTTTTGCTTGCTGTCGTAAATTTCTTGAATGTATCCTTGGCAGTGTCAGTACCTTCATCGCACCTCTAACTTTCTTGCTCGGTTCTGATAATCTCGCGCGATATTGCGTAACTTCAGAGACGCAGGTATTATTTTATAGATAAACGTAGGTGATCATCGTTCAACCCTTATTTACATTCTACAGATTTTATGTAACGGTTTAATTATCTTAGCTGAGACAAAGAAGTGGTGAACAAATGGTCTGTGAATAAATTGAAAGGAACGATAATAGAAAAATTGGCAAGCGCACGGGTATAGATTCGAGAGGATGAGGCAATGGGGGAGCAGAACGCAGCGAGGCATACTGAAGCGTGCATCGTTCGCAGGAAGTCGGTAGCCGATTACCAGAAGTCTGCTAATTGGAAAAAGGTGGCTGGATGATGTCTCGATCGGCCTTGCCAAGGACTTGGCTGGCCGTTCTCCCGATTAAACGGCTGGTAGCACGCGTACTGTGTGCGTGAAATACACGCTCCCTCTGCACGCTCTTTCACTCGCGCGTATACACGGAAACGATTCTCTCCCATTTTCTCGCATAGGCAGGAATCTCATTCTTTCACTCGCTCGCGTACACAGATACATAGAAAGAAATCGAGGAGTGAAACTTCGTGCCTTCGTGGTACACTAAAGTCACATCGACGATCCTGGCACATCGCTCGATGGTTAGAGATAGGCGTTAAGTGTGACGCACACGTAGCCGGTCTACGTGATGGTGTACAGGTTTGCCGGCGAATAAGAACAGGTAGATAGATGCTAGCCTATAGCGAAGGGATTGAGTATCTCTCGAATCCACGATATTAATTGAACTAGTCGATCTGACGACCATTCTGACAAATCAAAATGTACACTTTGCTAGAGTATTCAGTATTGTCTTCCAAAGTGTCAATCAGTTTCACATTTTTAGACTGCAAATTCGATAGGAATTTTTATAAAACTGTATTCCAAATGTTAGCAATTATTGCGACATCATTTGTTTTAAATAATTATGAACTTAATATTTACATTGGGAAAATGGGCGTTGATCCCATCAGTAGTAACCTGGGTGGTTGTTGTGCACGCGGATGTTACACGAACTTACGAGGAAACTTACTCGCGTTGCCGTTACACGGCTCGCGTGCCCACTATACCCCGTCGCCGTTACATGAATATGCGCGAACCGTACTGCTTCCTTTTTTAACAATCCGTTTCGTAATTGTTTATCGCGTCGAGACGAACGGCGTACTCGCCACAAAACTGACGCCATGCCACGACGATAAATACGTTTTGTTACACACTTATCTGACATTTCTGTTTTAATTGACGATCATCGTTCACCAAGTGAAAATAATAAGTTTGATATTCAAATGACGCAATCCACGTTCATTCCCTACTGACACAAAATATTTATCCTGAAGGCTGAGTCATCGCGATTAACCCTTCCCCTGGATCGATGCGAGAGGAAGAAGTTCGGATCAAGACAGATCACGTCTATGGAATTCGAAAGGACGGTCGCGCGGTGCCGCGATTCCTGGTTATTACGTTGAGGAAGTCACGCGGGCTCTCGAGACCCCGAAAAAATGAGGACGAACCGCGTGGGGCACCGAACCAGGTTCCGGATTTGGTTATACCAGAAGGAACACCACCTGGTAGAGGGAGAAATTTCGGCCCCCAGATCTCATCCCAATTCTCGAAACCGTAAACTAGGTAAAGGTTCCCGCTATCGAAGTCTATCGTCATTGCCCTAGACCCGGTCAAGCTGAACGTGACCCAGTTCGTCCCGATTCGAACGGGATTAAAAGAAAAAATATACCACGCGACTATAATAGGTCGATTCTGGTATGCCGCAATCGTAAAAATAACTTGGACACGTTGCGTCTCGTAAATCCTTTCCGTCGACAAAAACTGTCCCAAATTCCATGATAAAAGACGACCACTCGTTTTTCATTAATTGTAGTCTTAATTAAACCGAGCAAATATTATTTGGTAAAACTGGCAGTGGTTTTTAAGGATGTATTGGCTATACAGTCAATCCCGAAAGTTTATGCACTTTAGAAACGCATTTTTTAAAAAGAAATCAGACATCGGAAGAACATTGCTAATAAT